GGGCATGCTGCAACAAAACCAGACAAAGTGAACATTGGTATTACCAAGAATTTCAGGGATCAAAATTTAGTCATTTGCAATGTGATCATAATTAGAGTTGCCTTTCTAAACTCTAACCTCTTTTCTAAACTAGTTTAAACTGATTTTATGACATATATGTGTAACCATGATTACCGAAATCATTCATTTTCTCTTATTTTCTCTTCGCAACTAAAGTTTTTATCAAAGTTCATTTTATTTTGATATTATTGTCCTGACAATTAATTAATTATTAAATCATTGGTTTAGCTTAAAAATATATTATAATTTTCTTATTTGTTCTAATATAATTTTTCTTAAAAATATATAAATTTTTTTAATCACAATAATGTCAAACAATACTGATGTAGATATAAATAGTTTATCAAATTCAAAAAAACTTGGTGGGCGACCAAAAAATGCAGTTTGGCAACATTTCGAATGTTATCCCTCAAAACATCCAGGACATTTTGGAGCCAAATGCAAAACATGTAATTGTAAATGGAGTAATGGAGCTGTTAATAAACTGCAAGTCCATTTGGCACATGAATGTGAATACATTGAAGAAGAGATCAAAAAAAGATATATGTATATTGTTGCAGAAAGAGATGGTGTAAGTGAATCTTTAGAGAATACAGCATATAAAGCAAATACACAATCACTTTCTAATTTTTGGGATAAAGATGAGACATTATCAAAAGAACATGCAGGAATTATAGATTGTTCAATTTTAAAGGCTTTTGTGGTTTGTGGTATCCCCTTTAGAATAATTGAAAACCCTTTTTTCATCAACATGTTAAAAATCTCAGATCAAATTATAAACCTCCTTCACAAGATTGTCTTAGTACTAAATTATTATCAGATGAAGCTGTTCATGTGGATATAAAAATTAATAATATTTTAGAAAAGGCTAACAACTTGACATTGGGTATGAATGTTTTTATTTTATTAAAATTAATATAATATTCTTTGTTCTTATTTTCCAATTTAAAAAATAGGCATTGATGGTTGGAGCAGCCCTAAAGGTTATTCCATTTATAATTTTATGATCACCACAGCAGATAACAAAGAATATCTCTATTCATTATGTGATTTATCTGATGTTAGTCATACTGCAAAAATTTTAAGAGATGAAATTGAACGTGTTTTATCCAGAATTGGGCCAAACAAATTTGCAGCTGTAGTGAGTGACAATGCTTCAGCAATTCTTAGTGCAAGAAAACAAATTTCAAAAAATATCCTTCATTTTGAATACCAATTGTATAGCACACTGTGTGAATTTGATAACAAAAGATATCATGAGTATGTTTTTTTAAAATTTAGGCTTTTTTAATATTATTTATGGTTTAATAATCTATATTTTAAAAAACATTACAATTAGAGCACTCCTTTCCATATAAAGTTGTTAAACAATGTAACAAAATTAGCCATTTTTTTAAAACTTCCCACAGAGTTGGAGCATTATTAAGAAAATATATTGATGAATATGGTATTAAAGGTGGTGGACTTCGTTTGTACACACCAACTAGATGGACTTCAATGTTTGAGACCACTAACTCTGTCCTCCAACTCAAACAACCATTGGAAAAGGTTTAAATATTAATTACTTTCTTATTTATTTTTTATTTTGTCATTTGTAAGATTATAATATATGATAACAAAATTTTCAATTTAAATAAAGATTTATGAAAGACATAAAGATTTACTTACAAATGATAAGGTGAAACATATTCTTGGTCTAAGAGGTTTTTTTCATGATGTTGGGCTGGTAACTTCTGTATTGTTGCCATTACAAAAAGCAATTCTCAATTTGGAAGGAACAAATGTTAACCTTGCAGATTGTTTCATCCAACTTGTAAAACTTGCAGTAAATATCAACAAATTTCACCTGAACATGGATTAATTGAATTTAGGAACCATTGTATTAAAGTCATCAATAATAGATGGGAATCTTTTGAAATACATCCATATTTGCTTGTGTATTTTCTTCACCCATTATACCGTGGTAAGCATTTAACTTTTTTTTTTATTATAAAAGAATTTAATATATATATAAATTATTGACATCTTATTTTTGTTTAGGAGTTGGTTTAAAATCAACTATTTGGCCAAATTTAACTAAATATGCAGGAGAAATCTTTTGGAATATGAATAAAAAAAATCACTCTAATAATAAAGTAGCAGAATTAATAGGTCAAATGGCAAACTTTAAATGTTCAGAAGGTGTTTTTTCTATCCAATATTCTTCTTCTTACACAAGACCAAGAACTTGGTGGCAAGTTATTGATGATTCAAATGAATATGTAAAGAGTTTAGCAATTAAAATTTTCTCAATCACTCCTCATAATGCTGCTTGTGAGAGAGCATTTTCTGCACTAGGATTCTTGTATGGAAAAAGATGGCAATGTCTTAGTTTGTCTACGATTGAAGATATGGCAAAAATTAGATATTATTTATATTCAAATATTAAAAATGAGTTGAATTATGAATCTAAAGAAAGATCTGAAGAAGAACTAAGATCTCTAGTCCAAGGAAGTGGATTTTTTGATGATAATGATGAAGACTATGATGAAGGTGATAGTGAAGATGATAGTGAAGGTGAAGAAGGATTAGAAATACCAAATGAAGATGTTTATGTTTTAATTATTAATGAGATGGTTGATTTAAATAATCCAATATTTAATGAGGATTATGATGATTTAAATGATAATATTGAGGTAGAAGATGAGAATATGGAAGAAAGTTCTGAAGAAGTATTTGATTTTGATGCAATTCCTGAAATTTCACCTCCATCAAATATGTAAAAATTATTATTTTTTAAAAAAATTTTATTAATAATGATAATAGTAGTATTTTGGTTGTTTTTTTTTTATTAAGAAAAAATAAAAAAATAAAGATTTATTTGTTTGGTTTGGAATTTTTTGGAGTTTCGAAAATAGTTTAGGAGTTTCGAAAACAGTTTAGGAGTTTCGAAACAGTTTAGGAGTTTCGAACAGTTTAGGAATTCTGGCCCATTTTCTAAACCAGTTTAGAAGGGTTTAGATTTCGAATAGTTCTAAACTCATGAGTTTCGGAAGACAACTCTAGTTCACAAGTTCAAATGATTTTTTGAACTGGTTATTTAACTTTTGAACCAGTTATTTAACTGACAGTTCA